TGTTAATGTATGATCGACAGATCTATGAAAAATGGCAAAAACACTGTGGAACAATTTAAGAATCAATGGTTCTACTCTGACCCATTTTTTATAAGCCAAAAATGCAATTTAAGAGACCCTGAGCAGTGAGGGGGTGTGAAGTGACAACGGATACTACAAAATGTTGTATATTGTAAATATGTAGGCATGTTTCAAAAACAAGAGATATGAAAAGGTATGAGGTGAAAAGTTGTGCTCCGACCCTGTTCCCCTTCCACCCTCTAAAGTTGACCATCAAGTATCCTTCCACACTTTTTTATGCATACCAAGCAAAATATGATACGTGTTTTTATTCTTCTCCACTTTATAATGCTGTATACATTGTTCTACACCATTCATTTTTCACTTAATCCTGATGAGTAATCCATAACAGTTCATGAGGAACATCCTCATGTTTTAAAAACAGCTATAGGGTATTGTTAGAGATGTATCTTAATTTAAGTATTCCCCAAATGATGGACATTCGGGTGGTCTTCAATCTTTTGCTATTACAAAAAAGGCTGAATTGAATATCCTTGTACAGGAGTTATTTCAAATCTCTGTACTTTTGACTAGAATGAATTCTTAAGAGTGGAATGTGTTGGGGCAAATAAAAATATAATTGTTCGCACTTACCTAGTGCATGCTGTAAACAAGGCAAATTCCTCTAAGCATATTACATATATTAACCTATATATCTAATCTTCATCCTATGAGAAAACTATTTTTAAAAAATCTCCATTTTTAAGGATGAGGAAACTGAGGCACAGAGACATTAAGCAACCTGCCCAAGGTCAGACAGCTAGCAGATGGTAGTGCCAACCAGCCTGGCTTCAATGTCTATACTCTTAGCCACTGTGTATACTTTTTCAAGGAGTATATGTATTTGTATTTTAAGTAGATATTAACAGATAGTCCCTTATACTGGTTATATCAATTTATATGCTCACCAGCTTTACTATACTTCTTTGCCCACAGGTTTATTAAACTTTTAGAATTTTTTTTGGTTTAATTATAGGTGAAAAATGAAATTCCAAGGTAGTACTGACTTGTGTTTCTCTTATAATGACGGATATTGGGTATCTTTTCATGTTTAATGTCCTTATGTACCCACTTCCTTGTGAATTATCTATTCAGAGCTTTTGCATATATTTATATTGGAATTTTGGTCTTTTTCTTATTGATTTCTAAGTGCTTTTTATATATTAGAGATAGTAGTGTTTTGTCCATGATATGAATTAGAAATATTTTCCACTTCTTTAAATTTGACTTGTGCTTTTTTCCCTACAGAAGTTTTTCATATTTATGTGGTCAGAGTTATCAATTTTTTATAGATTCTGGACTTTATATCATTTCAAGGTTATAGGCGAACTTTTCTGTTGTTTTTTCCCCTAGTGTATTTATGGTTTAATTTTAAAAATAAAATATTTGATCCATGTGGGACTTATATGATATGAGGTATGATTCCAACTTAATTTTTTCCTAGATGGCTACTCAGTTGTTTTATTGAATAACTATCATTTCCCCACTGATTTGAGATACTGTTTTATCCAACCAAAGTATGGTATCATATATTCCCATATATAATTTGGCTCTATTTCTAGGCTTTCTTTTCTGTTGTTCCATTTTTCTATCTGTATATGTGTTATATATTACCCTAATATTTAATTGTTGAGGCTTTAGAGTATACTGTACTACCTAGTAGGTATTGATTCTCTCATGAGTCTTAATTTCCAGAGCTTTGTTTTTTCTTATTTTTCATGTGAACTTAATAATCAGCTTTTCCAGTTTTATTTTTTTTAAAAACTATTGACATTTTTATTGGGATATTGTAAACATCTCAGAATTATTTTCAAATCTTTCCAAATACAATACACTATTTAAGACCCTGTCTGACTCAGCTAGGCATGGATGCTTGTAAGAAATGCATTAAAAAGCTGGGTGTTCTCGGCTGTGTTATGGTAAGTGACATTTATTCACTTAACAGTAGATGTCACTTATTCTTCCAACATTTCTAGTTGTAAGACACTTGTCATCTCTTTCAAAGACATGAGAAGTGGAAAACAGAAAAATTTCCAGATGGGTAATGTTTAATCTGAAACAGTAGCCTCCAAGCCTATCCCAACCTCAACTTTTTTACCTCCTGTCCCATCAACAGAGCAATCCTATCAACCCCTGAAAATGCCAGTGTTCTTATGGGTACTGACTTATACTTTTGGCTTTAGGTTTCCAAAAGACCCTTTATGTTCTTCATGCGAGGTCCTGGGCCAGCAGCCTCGGCGTCACCTGAGAACTTGATAGAAATGCACACTCCTGAGTCTCACCCCAGACCTACTGGATCAAAATCTGTATTTTTAACAAGATCCTGAGGTGGTTCATATGCACCTTACAGTTTGAGTGAGAGAGGAAAAAAGATCAGTAGTTCTCAAAGTATGGCCCTGACAGCAGAAGTGGCATTCCTTGGAACCATGTAAAAAACACACATTCTCGCGCCCTCCCCTCCACCTGGCCTCGGGTTAGGTCCAGTTCTTCGCTTTAACAAGCCCTGTGGATGATTCTAATGCATGCTGATGTTTGAGAACCACTGCTCTACGTCCATGATTCTTCATCTTGGTGACATATTAGAATCACCCTGGGGCCTTTGAAAAAAATCCCATGCTAAAAGTACATCCCAGATGAATTAAATAAAAATTTCAAGGCTCCAGGCTGAAAAATCAGTATTTCTTTTTCATTTTTCAGGTGATCCCAATGTGAAGCCCAAGGCGAGAACCACTGTTGTTGTCTGGAACAATGCTTCTCAAACCTAGTTTGCATTAGGATCACTTCAGGATCTTAAAAAAAATATATATATATATATATTGATGCTCAGGATCTCACCCAGACAGGTAAACTGGCTTGGGTGGAGCTAAGAATCACTTTGAAAAAATTGCTTTCTCAGGTCAATCTATTCTCCAGCCAAGCTTTCAAACCACTGCTCTAGAAATACCATTTCCCCTCATAAACTTCAAATCATACAAAAGAGAATCAAGTTGGGAGGTGATGGAAGACATATAGTTGTTATTTCCCATATATTTACTGAGCCTTTGCAGTTGTTAGGCAGGTTACTATGAAGATTAAAAACAAGTACAAAGTATAGTTCTTGCCTATGAGGGGAACATACAATCTACTGGCAGAAAGACCCACACATATTTCACATTTAATGATTTGAAAGGAACACATCATTCTATGTTGACTATACTTCAATAAAACAAGTTACCCACATCATTATATCACTGTAGGTCAAGCTAATTTCTATCCTTTTTCAAAGAATAAGAGTAAAATGAAAGAAACGTATGTTAGAAAATGAAACAATTTTAAATATAATTAGCAATCAGCCCTTAGACATTTGGAGGAAGTGCTAGACAAGTCAATGGCCACTTCAAAGACTTATTTACTAGCTTAAAGACTGAGCAAGACTAAAATGCTTGAAAGGTTCCTCCTTAGCACAATGAAAAGGAAATTATGCTATGGGTAATTCCGTACAATCAACTCACCCCACTGCTGTTTGTAAATTAGGTTATAACTACCAAGAAAAATTAGCAATTAAGAAATCAGCAGTTAAAGAGTTTAAAATCTCTTTTTTGTTTTTATTATTGGAAGTAAAATTATTTCTTTTGGCCTACTTACCTCTCTTTCTAGAGTGGCTTCCTTTGAGAAGACATTTAAAAATAAATGAAAAGCCTTAGAAAAATTATTGGCTATAAACATTTTTCACAGATACAGAGCTGTTGATTTATATTTTAAAATAAGCTACCAAGCAAAATTCAAAGTTTCGTATACATTTTATGAAAAGTACACGAACATCTAAAATTGGGTCAAAATGTTGAAAATTCTGTTTGAATTTGGCTAAGTATTTGTTTTATGATTCAGCTAAATACACTATACCAATTCCTTTGTTCTATTATTAATTACAAAGGCAAGGATGTGACATCCTCTTTTAAGACTATTAAAGGGAGTTCTGAATTAAGAAAAAAATCACAAATGTTCACCCACCTCATTTCCCTTGTTCTATTAGAAATACTTACAGGTTAGAACAAGCTAGAGCACATTAAATAATACCAGTTTGACCTGGGACTGGGTCTAAGGGCATCCCATTTAATGTCATAACCTCTCCTTCATATTTGAAAATGACCTTACATTAGTTGGAGATGAATTTCAAGCTGTTTCCCCAATCAGACATATCCAACCAAGAGGTACACTGTTAGTTAGGATCGTTATGGGCACCCATGAAATAGAATTAGGCTTACTGGCTCTAACAGGTTTTGAATTCATCATCACAGATAGAATTTACCCTCAAATTGAGCAGAGTTATTATTCCAGTTTGATAGATGGGGGACTACGGTTTAATCACATCATTTGTACAGAATAAAGGATGGCGTAGTGATGGTCGATGGGGGTTGGGGAGGGAATAGAATCACCTGGATATTAAAAGTAAAATACCTCATATGTTGTCCTCTGCCCCCTCCCACTACTACCCTATACGTATGCAGAATGTGAGTTGAGAAAACCTGTATGTGAGTTGCTGTTACCGACATGAGTGTGTCACGTCACCACCAATGTATTGGGGGCATTTAATAGGGTTGAAAACCAGTGCTGTAGTGGAAACAAAGGCAGCTTGCAATACAGGTTCAAACCCTCAGTCCTGTATTTTGTCTACTGAAGCGTGCAATTAAAAAAAGTGTGGTTCCTTGAACGGCAACATTTTGGACAGAATAATTGAATTGAAGCACTATAAGCCATCGATGGCTTTTATTTCGCTCTTAAGAATTTGCGGAATGATTCCCGATTCTTCAAAGAGGGGCACGGGATAGGGCACTGGCCTTTCTCAGCTACGTGGTTACAGCGTCATCACCATTCTCAAAGGAAGTGGTACCCAGCCATTTCACATGAATGCAAATTCCAGGGTAGCCCTCGTAAGAGATTTTTAAGGAGCCGCTACGTACCTGTTCTGGTTGAGTTTCCCCCCTCTTTTTGTTGTGAAGTCGAAGGTAAGAGTCTGTTTTAGGAGTGGGTAATCCCAAAGTCAGCTTGTTTTTCTCCACAAAATGTTGTCTGGACTTCCTCCGCCGAGGGCCACGGGATCCTGGCAGGAAAACTTCATTATGTGAACTTGAACTCTTAAAGTACCGAGAGAAGGTGCTGGACTTCGCTTCCAGGTCACTGTCGCTCAGCCCGGAAAACGGCTCGCTGCCGTGGGCGCCACGCTCATAGTTTGGGCTTAAAAATTCACTACCAAGTAAAGAGGCTTCACTCCGTGGGCTCCCCTCCTGTTTGCCTTTCTCCTCCGGGAGTTCCATCGACGTCTCCTTGGAAGGATAGAGTGGTTCCGAAGGCAGATTTTCTGTACAGCTGCCTACAGACTCGGATAATGCGTGTAGAGCCAATAACTTGCCCTCCTTTCTTTTATTCATCCAGTTTGGGTCATATCGGAGGTCCGAATATTTGTCTTCTAGTGGCTGTTGGCTGCCCAAAGCAGAAAAGAAATGTCAAGTCCTTCATCAAAATAAATGTACTCCTTATATTTAGTTGGTCATCTTACTTGAAATCAGTTTCCATCTTTCTCCTATAATATTCTTTTTACTACCTGTAGGTCAAAAGACATATCCCAGGCTCACAGTTAGGCCTCCACACTACCCAGAGGGGCAGAAAGGTCTTTCTTATCCAAGTGCATTGAAATACGGCATGAAAATGGGGGGATCCTTAATTTCTAAATGCTGAAAAACAAATGTTAGAATAATGTTAAGAGTGAATCATTGTGATTCAAGGGAAACTTTTACTTATGCACACTGTAAGTATTTTAGCTGGTGAAACTAAAACTGATTTCACACTTCGGCTGTTTATCTAGGAAGGGAAGTACTGCTCATCTCCTGAGCAATGTCTGCCTCATCCTGCCCCTTTTGTGGGGAAAGCAGTCCAGACTGAATACCCACATAGCTTCATCATCCTTTTACTTTTACTTTTCACTTCACTTTTACTTTGTAGATTTTGTTGAATGTACTGTAGAAAGGTGCCTAGCGTTGAGAATCAGCTTCGTTCAAACTGTCTTGGCTGTCAGGTCCCTGCACACTAAACTCAGTAGACAGGTCAGCATGTGCTTTGAGCTGTAGGGCAGCCCAAGTGAATAAAAGGTTAAGCATATGGTCCTGCCAAGGGGAGTGAACCAGTCCATAATCGGTGCATACGCCCCCCCACCACCACCCCCTGACACACAAAATCAGGACATTCTTTCCCAATGATAATCTCAATTTGTAAAGCACCTCCCAGTCTTAACCAAAAAAAAGAAAAAAAAAATGCTGGTAACATGGCATATTTAATGACCCCTTGATCTTCAAAAGCTAAATGGGAGAGATTTTCCTTCCTTGAGCACAGTAGATACAATCCTCTAATCAAAAAGAAAATGTAAATCACCTAGTCCTTTTATGTTACTTGACATTCCCAATTACAACATAATTTTATGCTGGGTAAACAAACTAATGATGCCCTTAGTGCTAATTTGCTCTTCTTAACGTGGACCTAGATTTCTTTGATTTAATGTAAAGCAAAAAATTAGATCAAGAAATCCAAACTCCCAGGTCTTGCTAAACTGTCATTTTGAATTTTTAGTACACATAGTAAGACGGGAGACTTCTTTGATAGGCTGCTCATCTTTTTCCACCAAGGGAAGAGAGTTGATATTCTCTTCTGGCAAAATCCCCAAATGGAGATGGTCCATATTTGTCAGGAAATCGTATATCAAATTGTGCAACTCCCCAGCCTCCAAATTCCAAAGGGTTACCTGTGTCTGGGCTGCAGATGGCGGTTTCTCCTGTGTGGCTCATTGTATCTGTGGGTCCTGCCTCTCACCTGGCTGTAAGGGTCTCTCACTGGGCATGTGCAAGGGACACAGAGTGGTCCGGAGGGGTAAAGTCTGGACTTGGAACCAGAGAGACCTGGGTCAGACCTGGGCTCAAGTTCTGGGTCCGCCACCACTTATCTGTGTATCAGCTGGCAGATCATGCCATCTCTGAGCCAGTTTCTCTCATCTGTAAACAGGGATAGATTATATTGGTTCTGTTTATTCCTCAGGATTACATAAGGATCAGAGTGAGACTATCTTAATTAGCGTTCTGTATTTGTGCCGATTTCACTATGAGATTCTTGCCCCTTCAGGAGGCCTGGGAGGCAGGGACCGAGGGCTAGCCTTCCCTCCCCAGCCTCTGCCCAGCTCTCGGCCCAGAGGAGTCAGTAAGTACTTTTAACCAGCCTCTAAAAATACTCTAATCAACACAGATATAGCATTGTGTATCTTTTTTTAAAAAACCAATAGTAGGAGCCACTGTGATGTACATTTGGTAAAATGAAATAAAATAATTAACTATAAACAAACAAACAAGCAAAACCCCAATAGTAGTAAATTAGAATTGAAACATGCAAAAAAGCTTCCTGCATTGGACCAAGTTAGTGAATGATTTTAAGGCTTATCTTGTACTGAGATCAACATAAGATTCAACTGTGGTTGTTTAGGTGGGAAAGGAAAGATTGAGGTGTACCCCACATGTCTTTAATAATGAAAAAGGTGCTGTGTCCTCAGATCCATGACATGTTGGAAGGAAAAAATGAATTTAACTTTCCTCATTCATGTGTTCACTCACTGATTCAACAGATAGTTATTGAGCATTTACTAAGCTATGGGCGACACAGTGGTGCACTCAGAGCCTAGCAGGGGATACAGACAAGAAAACAAAGCAATTTATAACTGGGGTGATGAGTGTCCTGAGGAGGAGCGTGGGGCTCAGAGGGACATCGAGCCTGTCCTATGAGGCTGGGGAAGGCTTTCTCACGGAAGCTACAGCTTGGCTGAGACCTACAGCTAAGAAGGGCAGGCAGTGTATGCCAGGCTGAAGGAACAGCATGTAGAAGGCCACAGAAGGGAGACAGAACACAGTGCCTTCAAAGGACGTATCTGTAGGGATAAAATGGAGGTGGGAAGGCGGGAAGGTTGAGGAGACCTCAGGATCAAGCAGAGCTGAGATCTTGAGGGGCTTCTAAACCCTGTGAAGGAATTGGCTTAACTAAATTAACACAGAGCAGCTTTAATGCAGCAAAAATAATTTAATTAGGAAAGATGTAAGCAACACATAAATACTTTTGGATCCCTGAAGTGATGAGCTTTTGGAAAGGATTATTTACAGAAGTTCTAAGGTCTTTTTTTTGGAAAGTCTGAGAACAGGTAGTCATCTTTGCACTGTTTAAAGCAGAGGCTGGCAATCTTTAAAAGTGACAGACAGGTCCCACTGGGATCACCGCTCTGCTACTGATGGGGTGGGATGTGGAATGCTGACGTAGGGAAGACAGCACACACTACTGCCTGCTGACCTAGGGAATGGCTCTTCAGTTCTTTCCTTACAACAACCCTGCAAGGGAGCTACTATTATTATTCCCATTTAACAGATGAAGGAACTGAGGCTCAGAGAGTGTATGTAACTGTCCCTGCATCACAGGGCTAACAAGGAGACAGGATAGAGACCCTGGCAGTCTGTCTTGGGACCTGGCTCCTGTCCGTTAAGTTGCCCCGTATCATGCAGCTATTCCCACACGTGGTTGTGAAGCAAGGAGTGTTGCAGCGCCTGCCTTACATGAGTTAGTCAATTGGTCAGAGTCAGTCAACCAGCCACAAACATGTACTGAGCAGCAACCAGGTACTAGAAACTGAAGGCGAGTGATGAGCAAAACAGAAGCAGGCTGACGGGTCTTACCTGCTAGTGAGGAAGCAGGCTTTATGCACCAGCTGTAACAACCGAGCAATAAATTAGATACATAAATACAGAATATTATGGGTATTTAAAGTAGAGGAGAGAACCTTATTTATTACTGAAAATATGTTAAGCTCTTATTTCCAGATTCAATTGTTAGATGATATGCTAAAGTCCATTCAAGCCCTATTGTTCTATGATCCCCTGATAAACTCACAAAAGAATCAATAACCAAGGAATGCCCATTATTTTTTTTTAATAGGTAGTCTTTACTTGATCATATGGGTGAATGTTGAAACCACAGTGTTGTTCATGTGAAACCTTCATAAAATTGTATATCAGTGATACTAGAAAATAGATATATTTGTTAAGAAAAAAAATAGGTAGTCTTTAATGATCAAAGCAAGTGGGTTCCCTGACTTCCATCTCCGCAGTTATACTAAGAAACAGCACTCAGACTGGTCAAAATATTTAACCACTATCAACTGATAATGGCAAATCTACAGTCATGGCTATAGACCTTCCTGAATTGTATGTGATCTCTGTGGTGCTTGGTTTATCTGAATAATGACATGGAGCATCCTGGTCCTGAGAAATGGTACAGTGCAGTGTCTAGGGATAAGGGGCCTGGGATCTGACTGCCTGCACTTAGTTCCTGGTGCCACCAGTTAGTGGGTGAGTGTGGGCAAGGTATTTAACTTCTCTGTGCCTTAGCAGCCTCATCTGTAAAATAGGGATAAGAGTGCCTATCACATCAGGTTGTTGAGGGATTGAGTTAATATACATTTGACGCTTGAACAACACAGGATTGAACTGGGTGCCTTTTTGTCCAAAAATAGATTGCAAACATTTTAGGATATTTGTGACAACCTGAAAAAACATTTTCTCTATCTTTATTGTAAGAATACAGTAGGTCATATGTATAACATACAAAATGTGTGTTAATCAAACTGTGTTATTGGTAAGGCTTCTTGTCAACAGCAGGCTATTAGTAGTTAAGTTTTGGGGGAGTAAAAATTTATACTCAGATTTGCAAGTACACAAGGGGTCAGTGCCCCAAATCCCGTGTTGTTCAAGGGTCCACTGTATATGAATGTTTCGAGCTGTGTTGTTGACACAGAGCAAGAATCTAGTAAGGGCTACCTAGGGAAGCATATGTCAATGAGTGCTGTCACAGGGCTGTGCCTGCTGTGTGTTATGTCCGGTGGCCATGACATAACATTGCTGTGTACGGTGCTTCCGGCTGATGGGTCTCAAGAGGTTCTTCTCCCCAGCCCTTAAGTCATTTCCAGGGCATAGAGTTGTCTCGTGATGCACTAAGTGGCACCTTAGTGGCCTGAAAAAATTAACACTTATTTTTAAAAATCCAGTTTTTTTCCACGACTTCGGCCCCATGGAGAGTCTGTTTGAACTGTAATTTAGGAAATGGTATTAAGAAATGTCATTTCATCCACATGATGAAATATTTGAAAAACTGCTGAAAGATGAGGAGGAAGGTAAAGCTGGGAGAATTAAATTACATTAGACCATCAAAAACAGCTATAGTTTCTGGCCTCCACGGATTCCCATCCTTAAAGGCCCACCGAAGCATATCACAAACTACAGAAAGACTGATGTTTTCAAGTGGAACCCACAAAATATGGAGGGCTTTGAAGCAAACAAATGAACTGCTTTGGCTGAGAAAAATAGTTTTGAACCAACCATATGAAGAGAAACTCTAATAATGTATAC